TTGAGAAAAGTTACTTATTTTCTTCACCGTAATATTGTAAGAATTCAAATAAGCCTTTTTTCTCGAAAACCGTCCACATTAGGAAGTTCTAACAAGAGTACATTATTTTTAGAAAATAAAATTGTACATTAGAAATTGGAGCCCGAAAAACCTAACCTCAAAAAAATTAGAACTTAAAATGTAAGACGAATGTAGCATAACTAACGCCCTCTATAAAATATACCAAAAATAATTCGACCAGCGTATTTGGCGTCCTTAAAAACCACGGAATACCAAATTTCATAAAAATATTTCGCACCGTTTGGAAATTTTCGTAAAAATTCTATTTAAAAAATTTTATTTTGTCGCTCTGTATCTCGAAAGTATACAGGGTGTGACTAAAAAGCTTATCTTACTTCCCTATTGATGACGTAGAACATTCACTAAGAATTTTATTTATACTCTGCTAGAAATTATAAAAATCGGTTGAACCAAAACTGCATCAAAACGTTATTTCGTTTTTATTCCATGCAATTGTTATTTTTAAACCCCAGCGATTCACGTGTTTGGAACTTGTTTTCCCGTCTGTACTCAAAATCGATACGATATTGTGGATGACAGTGCAAGCAAAAAATAACGTGCTGGCAAATCAGTATAGACCTCTTTTTAAAGGTTGCAAAAAAATATAATTTCGCTCGAAACAACACACTTATATGCCATGAAGAAAATTTACGTTCAGCATATACTTAATCTTGTTAGTAAACAACGCTGTTTATTTTACTGGAAACTATAAATTTTTCCTTATCATTATCATTTCACTTAGCTTACGCCATAGGTCGCGCGAACGAGTTCAGAGGCGATAAATATTTAGGTCGCCATACTTATTACGGCTCTTTTAACGAGGTACTTCAATTAATATGAAGCACTGCACATTCATCGGCAATATTTGGCTAGAAGGAGAAATATATAAAACATGCACCCGCTATTTTTAGAACGGAATAATGTCGGTGCACGCTTGGTATGAGTTTTCACTGGCTTAGCACTTAAGTGAATGTGGAACTTCCTTTTGACATTAGGTTTTGTGTAAACACTACAAGTGGTTTCAAGAGGCTGGGCATATTTAAGGCATAGTTGCACGAAGGAATTATCAATTTAAAAATTTAAAAAAGCGGGCTGTTTCCAACTTTGTGAGAAAAATGTGAAACCAGTGTTTTTTATTACATCTTAACCTAAAAAAATAGTATTTTAAGTACATACATTATTTTTACAAGTGCGTTTTGCAAACGAAATTTCGTCTAATTTGTGACGAATCGCTCGATCTGGCAACAATCGCTAACAGCTGTGCTACCCCATTAGAATTTTTTTCTTTGAAATTCAGTTGTGAATATAATATCATGGGGGTTTTCTATTTATTAATTCTGGTGTTTTTTTCTATCGCTTTTTTTCTTCCGGACTTTAGAGACAATACGTTATATGTCAATAAATTTATTGTGTAAAGTAAAGAGGCCAGGGTAAACTTAAAATCCAATTCCATCGTCCATAGGTGGCCAGCGCAACTGAAAGGTTTTTATTTAGTTTAAAAGCCCTACAAAAGTTATTAAAAACTAATAGAGCGTGAAAAGTTATCATATTAACCTCGCGAGCGGTGAAAAATAAAATTTTATTTAGCGGCAGAGCACGGCCTATCCATTTTAAAACGAATTCGCATTGTCGCAAAAACAAAAGCTAAATTAATAAAACCCGAGCGAAACCACTTACGAGTCTTTGTTCGCGGTGCAACTTGAAAAATAAATTATATAAATAGCCATTAACGGGGTACGGAACTCAAGGCGTTACTGAATGGGACCTTTCTGATACGGAGGGGCTTAAGAGGGTGAGTGTGGAATGTTTTGTGAGTAACGGCACAGACTTTGATTGATCTTCCCGCCACAGCCGCTTCAAAATATATACAGTTCACAACAGCGCCCCGAGTGG